CTTGAAAGTTCAATGTTTTGCGCACAAATCGAAACTGTGTGTGTGTTTGTGTGTGTGTGTGTGTGTATGTGCGGGTGTGTATGCGTGTGGAGATTTATGACTGTTGCTGTGTGCTGATGTTTGCCATTTTCTGTGTAGTTGTTGTTTTTGAGCAGAAATAACAGTGCTCAGCAGCGCTATCAAACTCTGCCAGCAATCGGTGAAAATACCTACAAACACTATTATAAATAGTTACAAAAGCAGATGTTTTTACATATGCTTCCCGCCACGCCGGCGTTAGTGTGAATGTCCTGGCCGGCAGCACCAACAGCCAGCACCGATCATTACTGGCTGCTGCCGATTACAGCGTGTACATACACATGTACTAATGTGTTTGTAGTTCATGTGTCTTTGAATTTATCGCCATCGTCTGACATTCCGCTCCTCAACTTCTTCTACTCGCTCTTTCTTTCTCTATATGCATACGTATGTATGTCGCTCCTGAAGGATATGGGCGAGGAAGAGCACAAAAAAAAAAAGAGCGGAGTAGTGAAAATTAAAATGACGTTGTGGCGTTGTATGAAGTTGGTCACATGCATTGATGTGAAATGAATTAACTTTTCAACAGATTTGCGAATGCACAATTGAATTTGTCGAGGAAAGACAAGAAGAGACGAGAGTAGACTGATTATATTGAAGTTGAGATAAACGAATGTGAGAGAGTATGCATTTAGTGAGGAGTTTTTTTTTTCTAATACTTCGATTAAATTTATTGTTGGTTTTTATGGATTCCAGAAATTTTTCGTATTAAATATTAACATTGTGTAAAGACTAAAAAATAATAGAAGATTTCTAGGCTACACTGGTCATAATCCAACATAACTTCTTTCGGAGAAAATGTCTTCTAAGATCTGCCCATTCATCGAAATCCTGAAACACACCCACATATACTGATAAAAAAGGAAGAAGTTAGTAGAAGCGCTTTTCCAAAAAGTAACTACGTCACACCCTCTAATTCTTGTGGTCATAACCTTCCACCTTGCATTCCACTGCAGATAACCGTGGCCGGAGGATAAGTAATAATATAGAAAAATGCTAACGAAGCACTCTAAGGCATTACTCAACAAGGAAAAGCCAGACAGATTCACAATACTAATTTAATCTCGATAGAAATCTTCTCGATCCAATCAAATTGCAGTCAAACGCCTGCTTCTGAACTAAGGTAGCTGATGTTTAAAGATTTCACTTATACAAAAACGTTTCTCCTTTGTCCTCTCTTTTTCTCCCTGAAGTGGATAACTATTAACTCTTCTAAGTTAGCTTAGAAGATCCCTTTCTGCTTCCCTCCGGAGAGGGAACTTGATTGCGAAATAAAAAGGATGGGTTTGCAGGATATCCGCAGTCCAGCGTTTGCAAAAGGGACTCGCCTTCGTTGAGTTCGTTGTTGGCCCACTCTCCCATAGTAGGAAACAATAGTACACATGTACATTAGCTCATCAGTATTGTATCACTTAACGAGTTACCTATAAGCCGAAACCAACCAAAGATTTATTTAAATAGGGATTCATATTATTTTCTAATTTAATTACATTTTTAGTATCTGTTGTAAAATTTAGATCGTTTTCCATTTTTAATCAAGAACTATTTGTTGTTCTTCAGCTTGTTTTCATACACAAAGGACTTATGTAATTGATCCTAAAAATTGAACTCTGATTACAGAAACGTGCAGCTGCAAAATTCATCAATAATAATCAACATTTTAAACTTAATTCAAACCACAATTTCTACACATAAAAAGTGTGACCACTGGTCATAATAAAAATCGCTCTAATGTCCTTTAATTGCGACACGAGCTGCTATGCAAACAAAATTAAGATGACAAAATTCCTTTTTACTTTTACTTTTATTTATATTTCTATTTTTTCTTTACCAAAGTGACCTTCTACGACCGCAAACGTAGTCCTCTGGTTGTGAATAATTTCCAGCGACATTTACCGTTGCAATTAACGCCTTCGCCGCCCAACCGCAGCATTGAAACCCTATTTAATGCTAATGCGAGAAATTAAAAAGGAAAATAAAATGCGGAAAAAATAATATTGAGAAAAGGAAAAAAAAATAAAAACACAAAAAAAAAAACCCGAGAAAGATAGCATTCGAAATATATTCACAAAAAAAAAAAGACAAATAAAATGAAAGTAGAAAAAACATTTGGTAAAACCAATAGTAATTATTGGCAATTAATACTGGTCACTAGTACCCAAACGAAGGCTCCACCCACTTTCACGAGCAAACCTTGGACGCAGTGACAGCTGCACCTGGTCGAACGGAGCTTACGAGCGTGGATATACTTAAAATGGAAAGAAAAGTAGCAAGAAATAGAAAAAATGGTAGCTTCGCTTCTGCTTTAAGGGTATTTGGTTAAGAGGTTCTTCCCTTGTATGTCTGTTTGTCTGTCTTACGTCGGACGTAAGGCAGCTTAATTCAGCTATTAATGTTGCTTCTATTGCTGTTGTTTTTAAGTTGTTTGTTTTTGTTTTAATTTTTACCTTCGTTTGGGTGAGAAATTTTGCCCAGCGCTTGCAATTAAATGCGCGACAAGGTTATTTGCATAGGAAATTAACATAATTGCATTAAGCACCAATTACAACAACAGCAACAGCAGCAACAACATTAGCGATAATGACATTGCTAATATTGCTCGTATTGACTGAAAGAAACAGAAAGAAGAGGGAATTATTTTAAATTATTAAACATGTAGTGCGATAAAAAGTCGGTTTAAAGAGAAAACACTGGTAATTTAATAGAAGGAAAAGAGGTGACAAAAAAATTAGTGAAAAAATAAATCCAGAGAATGGAAAAAAACTGAAAACTTCAATCAAAAGTCGAAAATCAGAAAGAGATAATGAAAGAACTATGAATTTCAGGGCTAATTCTAGGACTAATAAGCTGATGGATAAATATTTCCAACTTATTGAATCGAAATAAAGTACAGTCTCGAACTATTAATCCGGAAAGTATGTTTTTTTTGCTAACGCAGATATGAAACGGTGGGTAATCGAATAAGCGGAATGTACCAATATTGAAATGGAAAAGTGGAAAAGTGAGATGAAGTGCTTTCGGACGAGAAGTATTTTATTAAATTTCAATTTATTTTATTTTAATACATTTAATTAAATTTTATTTTATTTTAATTAAATTTGCTTTTATTTTGTTTTTATTTTGTTATATTTTTTGGTTGTGTTTTATTTTTTTTATTTTAATTTTTTTTTATTTTATTTTATTTTATTTTATTTTATTTTATTTTATTTTATTTTATTTAATTTTTTTATTTTATTAACATAGTTTAGTTTAATTTTGTTTAACTTATTTTTTTATATGTTATTTTATTTTGTATTATTTGAATTTATTAAATTTTATTTAATTTTAGATTATCTTTTTTATTTTATTTTAATTCATTTTAAATATTTTATTTTATATAACTATATTTTATATATATCTATATTATATTATATTATATTTTATTTTTTTTTTTGTTTCAATTTAATTTTATTCAATTTTATTTTACATTATTTAATTTAATTTTATTTTATTTTATATTATATTATTTTACATTTTTTTATTTTAATTTTTTTCATTTTATTTTTTTTTTATTTATATTGAAACCCTAAAACATCTACTGCTCTTCTTCTTCCAATGAAATTAGTTTCACTTACAATTCATTTACATTCCCTTCTGTTGGCATTCAAATGAGTTGCTTTCACAGTGGCAATCAGAAAATGTTGCACGTTCTGCATGAATTAGTGTCAGGTACATAATAAATGAATTAACATAATATTAACAAAAACAATGAAATTAATAAACAAGAAATTTTCAAATATGTGAACAAGTTTTAAATACACACCTACATACAGATAACGAACGTAAATGAATTGAATTGCATTAACATTATTAACATAATACAAGTTAATTTACAAATAAACACTCGCATACGCACACCTATATACTATATATACATAAGTGTGAACAAATAACAACTGGCAAACGGTAGATTACATTAAATGACTATTATTATTATGGCTGATATCATATGGAGAACATGATGCAACGCGTCATCTAACATTTAATACGATTTATGTATATGCATGGACTATATGTATGTGTGTAAGTGGACTCCTATATGCGAGTGTGAACTCGCAAATACATCGCACTTATTAAGGGAATTATGAAAATTCGCAATTAGACTGGCAGCAGCAGCAGCAATAACAACAACAATAGAGCAGTATTCTCACTCTCGCTCCTCGGCAGTCACAATTCATTTGCGAAAATTCATATAAATTTGCATATACATGTGTGTGTGGGGAGGTGTATGGACAATTGTGTGTGCCTCATCATCATCGCCATCATCATGTCAGGCGAACATATTGTGTAATTACATAATACAAATATAATTTAATAAAGTCACTTAATGCGAAATGTAGGACTTGTTGAAAGCTGACTATTAAATAAAAGCTGATGCTCCACGTACATACTATGCACACATGAATATTAATAGGCAGTTATTTGAAAGTAAGGACAACCGGACTGGGCCGTAATGAATAAGCTGTTGATATTTGTAATTTTTTTTTTAAATTTTAATTATGACAATTCAATTGCCTATCTGAATAGTGCAAAAGAGAAGCGACGGTGCGTATGAGTAATATTTTCTTTAAAAAACCAAAGAATAAAATTTAAATTACGTTTTTAGAAATGATTTATTGAATGAATTTCAGATAAAAACATTTCATAATATTTTTTTGACCACAACATTTTTAAGGCAAATTTTAAGAAAATTATTTCAAGAAAAATTTTTGAATTTATTTGATAATAATTTTTCCTCAAGCAGATGGGGAAAAGTTTTCATTGATTATGTGAAACAAACTATTGTATATAGAAAAAACACCTACAAAATATACATTAAGCCTCAACTCACTCACTCACTCTCTATTTCTCTCTCTCTCTCTCTCTGACTTTATTCATTACAGGACTACGAAAAAGAGATCATAAGCCATAAAATCAACTCACCGATTAGTAATAATAATAGTCTACATGAACTGCACAATCAGAACTCCTACGATAAAGACCATCATGCCAAGGAGCTGGAATTCTATCAAAGTTTAGCTAAGGCCGCCTCTTTGGCCAATCATAATGAAGTCAATTCACATCACTCCCACGATTCACATGAATTGTCGCCCTCCACCTCGCCACAACCGATGCAAATCGATACGGATGTGGGTGAGGATCAGGATGAGGCGAGAGATCACCTCAATCGTTTGTCCGATGTGGAGGATCATGACCAACAACAACAACATGCGAAGGCGTCCGCCTCAGCTTTGGCGGTAGCCGCAGCAGCAGCACAAGCGCATCTAAATGGAACTAGTGAGTACATATCGAGATCCAATTTTTGTAGCAAAAACATTAACAACAATAACACATAAACATGCATGGCATAGTGTAATGTAAGCCATTAAGTCAATGACACTGAACCCTTCTGAATTGAAACTTTTACTGGTTTAGGCAATTTTTTAGATGAATTCCCAACAAAAGTAAGTACCAGACAATACAAAATACCATATGAATACCCATACAAATCTGTCTAATGACAGAAACAAAAATATAACGGTAACTCTTATGCTATGCACTATCAAATACCTCATGTTGATAGCACTGTAAGCCAACTTTTTTTCTCTTTCCTCTGCATTATATACTAAATCGTATTGAGAGAGCAAGAATTACCTTATCCGGATTAACAACCATAATCTGGTTATAAGGACAGGGCTCTGTAGCAGGCCAGGATCGAACTCTCCTACGAAAACTCCTGACTGCGGGGGTAAACATTTGACTTTAGGGATCAGAGGAAATTATGGAGAAGAAAAATGTATGAAGCATTCTGGTCCTCTGACTGCTTATGCACTCTTCAATTTGAACCCTTTTTGTTATTTCAATTAACTCGTTCAAGCAATAAGTGTTTAGGGAATCCCCATAAATGTTCAACTAATCGACCAAACAAAGCCGCATCAAGCACTAACCCACACACAAATAACTTTTGCACACACACATACTAATGCAGGCACGGAGCATAGACAGATCACAAGCAATGACACATACACACAAGACGTAAAGTACACTAAGCGTCGAACACAGTATGCACAGGCAACCGGACACATGACACACGAAACACACGGAGCACACGGAACACAGCATCTAACTCATCAAAGCAGCAAAGAGTCACAAAATTTTACTAATAACTTGCAACTTGTCTCATTTTTACTCCCTTACTCTCAACCGAAAAACACAAACACCGTTATGCTTCTAAACTGCACTTATTGGCCAAAAACACATCTCGTCAAACCAAAAATAACCGAAAAAACACCAAAAATCATACAACAACAACAACCATGCACAAAACGTACTGTTACCGTAACCGTACACTCCGCAGTGCAAGACATGATAAATTTACAAAAATTACAAAATTTAGCCACGCTTCAGCAGCAGCATCAGCAACAACAGCAGCAGCAATTGCAACATGCCACTGGCGGCAATGGACTACACCAACATCACCACCACCATCAGCATCCTCAACTGCACACACCACCTGGCGGGCCCACCACACCGGTCAGCGTCAGCCAGAGTGTCACACCAGCGACGGCCGCAGCACTGGCAAGTCTTCAGGGATTAGCAGCAGGTATCAGTGCTTCGGCAGCCGCCGCAGCAGCACTCAATTCACCGCTCAATTTGACGGTTAGCTCCGGTGCGATTGGTGGTGGTGGGCTTAGTGCTTGTCTGCCACCAATTGGAGCCACAGGTTCACACAGTGCACCCTGTTCACCCACCTCGGCGCTCTCTGCCTCTAATGTTCTGGCCGCAGCCGCAGCCGCCGCCGCAGCATCGAACAATAATAATAATAATAAAGTCATGTCACATGCCGGTAGCTCATGTGGGAGTGGGCAGGATGCAGGAGTGAGTGGCGGTGGAGGCGGCACATCACCCAACTCGAGCTCTATGCAGGCGCAGACAATGGCACAGAATACGTTGGCTAATGTGTTGAACTCGGCAGCGGCAGCCGCAGCAGCCGCGGCGGCAGCTGGTGCAGCAGCAACGGCTTCACCTCCGCCCGCCATGCCGACACCAGCAACTGGCGGACAAATGCCGCAATTGATACTCGCATCGGGACAACTAGTACAGGGCGTTCAAGGAGCACAGTTGCTCATACCGACGGCGCAAGGTGAGTAACTAATGTGACGATTGTTGGTAGAGAGAAGGTTCAATGAAGAGTAGACAGTGGCGAATGAATTGGTTCATTGCTGAGGCACTCGCAGAGTGAGCTGACATTTTCAGTGCCAAAAACTTTTCGAAAACTTCATCATCATAGGACTATCTGTAAATATATCCTAAGAATTTTTATCTTTTTTCCACCCCCAGGTATCGCCGTGCAGACTATCCTCACCATCCCTGTTAGCCCGCAAATAAACACCAATGAGCAATTTCTTCCGAACTTTGGGGCCTTTGCTTCATTCCAACAACAGCAGCAGCAGCAGCAGCAGCAACAACAGCAACAAGCGCTTTTGCCACCCTCTCTGCCGCCGACACTCGCAGCCCTACAACATGCCTCAACATTGCCACAACTCGCCCAAACACAAACGAATTTACTAAAGCCTAATCTTTTCTCGAGCAGCGTACAACAGCTTCTGGCTGCCCTTCATCCGGAATTGTTTGCTGCGGCTGCCGCTAATCAGCACCTACATGCCTCGACGCAAGCGAGCCACCATGCTTTGCACCATGCGCAGCAACAACGCGGGGACCAACCGCCGGGCGCTCCACCATCACATCTCACCCACCTGCCACCACCACATCACCATCTGGGCGCACATACGCATGCATTGACTGGTGATTTGCATTTGGCGGCAGCGGCAGCTGCAGCCGCGGCACGTGGTGGTGAAAGTGGAGTTCATTCACCGTCTGGCTCGCCATCTCCGCACCGTAGTATTAGCGGCGGCGGCTCGGAGCGAGGAAGTAATAATAGCTCGTCGTCTGGTACAAAAGCAGCCGCAGCAGCAGCGGCCGCAGCTGCAGCAGCCGCCTTCCATCTGCAACAGCAACTGCACATTAAACAAGAAGCTTCGCCGCGTCATCATCATCATCATCATCATGGTTTGCATGGTCACCACAGCGGCACACACCACCACCCGTTACGCCACCCAGCAGAAGAGCTCGCCTCACCAAATAGGGAAATCGGCAAGTCAGCCAGCACAAACTCTATGGCCGCTTCAATGCATTTGCCACCGGATGTAAGCGCCTCACCACCTCCAGGACTGAGTTCGCACCACCATCATTTCCATCACCGCAGCAGTGGGCTAAGCAGCGGTCACACACAAAATTCGTCACCCTCACCCCGACCAAATTCTTCGTCCACCTCAACATGTACTATGACGCTGCGGGACCGTGATAGAGATAGGGATAGGGAGCGTGAGAGAGAACGGGAAAGGGACCGCGGCGAGAGAGAACTGGAACGAGAGCGAGACAGAGAGCGGGAACGTGAACGTCCCGAACGCACGGAAGCACACCTTAAACGCAGTCCAACACGCAACACTGGATCACTAAACAATGGTCCGAGTGCTGGCATCAATCTCAGCCAACATGCCATCAAACGAGAACGTGGGCATTTGAGACGTTCATCTTCCCCCGTACTCAGCTCTACCGCCAACTCCACACAACTATCAGGTACGGGTCACAACTCTTCCTCCGTTGGCAGTACGAATACCAACTCAAGCACAGGCAATGGCGTTACAGTTTCAGCTTCAGTAACATCCGCCTCAACATCCGCAATGGGCAATCAGCATCACCAACATGGGCATCACTCCCACCACCCGCACCAAAGTCATCATCAATCGCAACATCACAGTCTGACACACCACCATCCGCATTCGATGTCGTCGGGCATCACAACAAGTTCGGCTTCCGCGTCAACGGCCGGCGGCGTGTTGTCATCTTCAACGTCAACGACATCCAACGAAAGAGGCTATTCATCTCCTTTGCGCAGCTCGGCTGGTCAATTGTTCCGTACCCACTCACCCTCGCCCTCATCATCGTCAGCGGCGGCGGTGGCGGCTATCACACATCTGCATCATCATCAACATCAACAACAACAGCAGCAACAGCAACACGGCCAACATGCACACAATATGAGCTCACCGCATGAGCGTGATTTCCTCGGAAATGGCGGTGGGTTAAGAACATCTCCGCTGAGCATGGGTGTAGGTGGCGGCGGAGTGGGCATGGGTGGAGGACCATCTTCAGCAGCCAACATGTTGAACAGCATTAATAGGTAAGCTCCTCAGTGTAGTAAGAACAATAGTTGAAAGGCGAAAAGCGCTAATTAGACTGCTGAGTGGAGGAAAATTAATATGAGCCTATAGGGACTGTGTAAAAACTTTTAATTGTTCCGAGTAAATATGAAAAAATTGGAAGTTAAGAAATTGATACAAGCAAAGTTTCAAAAGTAAAATAATAAATAATTTAAAGAAAGTCATATTGTGTGCTTGACTGAACCTTATTCTCGAACTCTCTCCATTTGCAGACTTTCCGCCTCGGTTAACGGCGAATTGACCATAACAAAATCACTGGGTCCACCAACTGCTACGGCGATACGTGCATCCTCTGCTTCGCCCACCTCGCCAGGCCTCAGCTCGACAACGCTTGGCATAAACACTTCGTCCGCCTCCCATTTGATGCATCACACGCACCATAGCATGCACGGGATGAAACTAAGTCCAACGACCAGCTCTTCACTGCAACGCGAACGCGAACGCGAACGTGAGCGAGATCGCGAAAGAGAGCGTGAGCGAGAGCGTGATAGGGAACATGAACGTGATCGGGAACGCGGTGGCGGCGATCATCCCTCACAACTCTCCCCCAACGGTACGGAGGGCTCGAGTGGTGCTCACGATTTGCTGATGGATTCACCGAGTGAGTAAAGATCGATTTCTTTTTCTCTACTTTCATTAGTTTCAATTAAAAGTCGGACACATTGGGAAATGCGAAATTTTCATGTGCAGTTGTCTTGGATGAGAGTTAGTGTTTTGGTTCTGTGAGAAGTAATTTTCCAATGTGTCTTATAAGTTAGTTTTAAGGTTGGGGAAAGAATGTGTCAAAAGGTATATCATATTGTGAGAGGCTGCAGATATGGCAAACTCTCACGACGGGCTCCTTAAGAAGAAGATGCCCGATTGTCTTTCGAGTTTTCGCTTTTCAGATTAGTTGATCTATTGCGCAGATATTTATGAACCAAAAAAGCGAAAAAATTCTCACTAATGCAGAATGTTTAATCAGTTGAAAAATCAATCAAGTGGAATGGAAGTGTGCTGCCACCTGCCTTAAAAACATAATTTAAGAAAGAATGAAAATATGAAGTATTTTAAAAAGGATGTAGATACTTCTTTTTGAGTAGGTTTTGGTTAGAAAATATTTTATTAGAGCTGCCACCTGTTTTAATGTTTTCACTAAATATATTTTTTACAATTTTTACTATGTGAACAACAAACTCATAAGCCGTAAGAGAAATTTATTAAATCAGAACTATTTGTGAGCAGAGTTGCCACCTATTTAAAAATTGTATACCCACAAATATTATATATGTAAAATATGAAAACATGACATAACACGCTTAGTACTAAGTAAACAATCAATTTTATTTTATATAATTAAAATTCGCCTTCAACAACAAGGATACGCCTTGTCATACACATACATACATAGAAGATCGCAGCACAACGATGAGTGCAATTTGATTTATTTATTAATCTTAACAAAAGTGCGCGAATTATGCAAAGGAACATATTGTCTACACAGCCTTGAAGGAACCCTTCTCCACTCACTACTCCTCTGCTCTCACTGCAAATACTGCTTACTTTATATTTTGATAGTATTGCTGTTTTTGTTGTAGTGTGTAGTAATTAAGCAACAACGAAGGCTCTCCTTGCCTGCATGTCTGCCTGCTTTGTCTTGCCTTGCCTTGTTTAAGCCACCGAAAGCTTATTGTTTCCTACTGCCTCGTGTTGCATGCAATAACGGCACTTGTCGGAGGCTGACATGCCTCAAATATTCTTGTGCTTGGTATTATGGCAACATTAGTAACATCAATGACAATGACAACAACAACAGCAAAACAGCAAGTAAGAATAGTTGGAAATTGGAGCTTTCGCTTGCCGTGGCAGCAACAACAATAATATTCATTGTACAACAAACGTCTAGTTGATATTCCGTTGATGCAACCAGCTCGCTATTGGTTGTTGTTTTTATTGTTGTCATTATTATTACACTTAGTTTGCAAGTGAAATATGTCATTAAATGCAAAAACAAACTCATGCCACTCGCACGACAATAACATGAATATCTGTTCGTGCAACTCAAGAGATGCGTCCTTCGCTTCTGCTCCCTCTTCTTCTTCTTGTTGTCCGCTACCGGCGCGTACTCTCAAGTTTTGTAAGCGTCAATTAGCAGTAATTAAGGCAAACATTGTGTGCCACAACTTGCCATTTATTGTTGTTGTTGATGTTCTAGTTTTCTGCGGCATGGCGCGTGTTGCATGAATTATGTGCACATTTAAATATCAGTATGTCTTCCGTAGCTTGCTGAGTAAAACTGGCTGCTGGGGGGTGAAGGGAAGAGCAACTTCAAAAGTCGCTGCCGTTGGAATATTTGATGCTGCAAGGCGATAAATAATTTTTCGGAAATTCGTTGCAGTAAAGTGCAGTTCGGCTTCTTCTTTTTTCTTGAAAAAATTCTGGATTTAAATTGATTTGAGTTTTTAAAGTACATTTCACAGTTTAAAAACATAAAATTCCTCAAATTTCATTTTTTTTTTATAAAAATTCTTTATTTATTTTTAATGAATAAAATTACTTGAAAAATCATTATTATATATTTGTTATAAATTAACTGAATTTATGTTTATTAATTTTCTTTATTATTTCTCAAAAACTTATGTAACTTTTAAATTTTTGAAAATTTGTTGAAATTACAATTAATTTACAAATTTGATATTTAATTTTTATGAAAATTTTCAATCTTTTTTCTATTTTCTTTTATTAACCTCTCATTATGAAATAATTCTCAAATTTCACTTCATTTCTTAAATGTTGATTTAGCAAAAAGGGTTGATTTCTTTTCTTTTCATTCTTTCCATTCTCATATTATATAACTTCTACTCTGCCCTCTATATGCGAGTATTGTAGACACGTGAATGTACCTGTACCCCTTTCACACATACACATGCATTAGTAAACATTTGCTTCCATCGTATTATACCGAAATATTCACCTTTAATTGGCAAAAAAAATAAAAAAAAAAACAAAAAATAAGTCCAAAAAGTATCCAATTATTGATCCAATTAAAAGCAAATTCTTTGCATTTGTAAATATGTGTGTACATATGTGCAGCAAAATGTACGTTGCCGTCCAAACTCTTGGTCAAGCAGCAGTACACGTGTTTACATGTTGTATTATACAAACATACAAACACAAATACATACATACATATACTTATGCAGCACAATTATATTTACATTCATATGCATATGTAATTTTTTATATATTGTTTGTACGTGTATGTACATACATATGTGTTTGCAATCTCACATAAAAGCATGTTGGCACTCATAAATTACCAACCAACCACTCCCTAATTCTTGCACCGTTATAACCCCTCTTGCTTTCTGCTCCACTATTGCTCTTTGTGCTTCATTTTCTAACTACGAACGCGGTGTAATAACCCCGCTTTTTTGGCAAAATCGTTATTATGCTTAAAAAATGTACAATTAAAAAGTTGAGAATATAACGGTAATAAAAAATTTGCACAGTGCTGACACATTCAAATGTTTGCATGTTTGCATGTATATGTATGTATGTATTTGGGTACACAGTGGTATATGTGGGTATTTATGGGAGGGATCGACAATTTATTAGCAATAATTTTTAGTGCTTTCCACATTCATAGTTCTAGTAAAAATAAGTCTATTAAGATAAAAATTGCGTTAATCGAAAAAATTGATAATTCGGAGCTTTAGACACGACCGTACATTATTACGGGTTTCTGCATCTTGTAAACTATCTAGCGAAATACTAATTATATTGATCATCCATCAATCACCGTAGGATACTAGGCTTTCTTTATATTTCTCTCTCGAAAGAGAACAGCATGCAGTTAATTTAAATAAAAATTAAACTAAATTTTCTAATTGCGATCAGCCCTCGGCAGGGAATGTCAACCCCTCCGAGTGAATTTCTGCCGTTCGAGGAGGCTTAATATAAACTGTAGGTCTCTCCATTTGTTGGAAAAACATCAAGACGCAAAACCAAAAATTGAAGGGAGAGCTAGGCGGAGTTAAAATGCGCCAAATATATATATATATATATACTAATTAAAAACTAGTTCATTTTTGCATGTTGAGTTTTTTATATAAGAAAACTTTCCAACAACGAGATGTCAATCCTGAATCTCAAGCATTAGAGCTCTCAAAGTAATGCAGTGTACCCTATGAGGCCTGCTTTGATTACATAACAATTCTAGACTACTTTCTCACATAAATAGATTTGAAAGTTTTATTTGCGCGAAGCAAATACGCCCTGCTAGCCATATTAATTACTTTTAGGCAATTTTAAGCAAGAAACGAACCAACTTTTTCTGCACCACCTACCAACAAACCTTTCAATACTAATTAACCAATTTTCTACAGAAATTTCAAGCGACATTAAAACTTTCGAATTGAAAAGCCAAACGTAAAATTCGCTAAAACTTTTAACGAAAATCCGATTTGAAGGTGGCAAGAAAATACTGAATAAGCAAAGTAAACTGAAATGAACACATGCGTCAAGTGCAAGTGTGTGTGAGAATGCATAAAGTGTAAAGCACAACAAGCAAAATTTTAAACAACAAAAAACAGCGACATATTCATTCATATTTTATGAGATTTCCAAAACAAGCAAAACAGCAAAACAAAGGCGAAATTGCCTTCTCGCCTGCAGTAGAAGAGTGCACCGACTCACACATGCCCGTATGTGTCGCGAAGATTTTCGCTTTTACGCCACACCCGGGGGCGCATTATCCTTGCAACAGCAACAAAATCAGTGCTTTGCCAAAGATTATTAGCTGTTGCTGTTGCCATTTGACGGCCGCTGAATGGGGATGTGGAAGGAAGTTCGAGGAAATGTGCCTTTTAATAGTCGCAAAACTTTAACTTTGCTTGGTTATAAGACATAATAACATATATACATATATATATGTTACGCATGAAAGCACACGCACAAGTATTAACTGATTGACACTGAGCTTTGCAAAACATCAACCTGTCGTGATCTGAAGAGAAAGTACCTCTCCCGTGCTGCAGTTTGCATGCAAAGGTAACTGTCAATATGCTCGTATGTATGCATGTGCGTAAGATAGCTTACAAATATACGTGTATGTATGAACCGAACAGAGAAAGTTTTGCACGAGACTGCTTTTTTGGAACAATTGAGTCGTTCTTAATCACTTATCTGAGACTTTAATATTTTTAATACAGGGTGCGCCATTTAGACCTTCGATATTTCAACATTGAGAGGTATACTTTGCTATTTATTTCAAAACAGTTTTAGAACACAATGACGATTAAATTACCACCTTCATTCAAAAATCCGCTCTTTTGGCCAGCATTTCAGGCGCTATAGCACCTATTTCGGCTCGTAGTTACCTTTCAGTTCGTCGTAATATGATGGCGTCATTTGAAAACAATTCTTCAATTTCTTCTTTACCGTAATTAACTATCGATTTTGAATTCATTCACTTAACCTTCTAGTTTACAACTAGTCACTTAACACACCAGTTTGCTTTTTCACTGAAACTATGCTTTTGCATCTCCTTGTTGTTGTAAACTTGTATTTATCATCATGAAGGATAATTGCAAATTAGCGTTGATTTGAAATGTCGCAAAGTATTTATTTGTATGCAGCAAGGCTGTGGGGTAAAAAGTCAAACCAGAATTTGAACGATGAACTTACAAGTGGAGAGTTTGTGTAGAGACTAAAATTGAAGTTTTTGTATAGAATATGGAGGCAATTATGGCGAAATTCGAGGCTTAAGAAAGATTCTCCCACAAACTTTTTTTTCAGATTTTTATTTAGTTAGGAATTAAGTCTAGCAAATTAAGTTAAAAGCGACTGTTTTAATAACACACCTTTTATACTAATGCCATCTCTTTCTCTCTCTTTTTGCCTCCAGATGAGCCCACCATCAATCAGGCGACCACCAATGTCGTCGAGGGCATCGATTTGGATGAGATTAAAGAATTTGCCAAAGCATTTAAATTGCGTCGTCTGTCGTTGGGTCTCACGCAAACACAGGTCGGTCAGGCATTGTCGGTGACCGAGGGACCAGCTTACAGTCAGAGCGCCATCTGCAGGTGAGTTGCGTTAATGTGCAGAATTAAATAGCAAAAGAAATGTATTTAAGAATTGATAAACTTAAATTTAGATCATAGAGTTTTCAGAACACACATTATTAACAATATAAATATTCAAAAAATTGAAATTCAGAAAGCTTAAGAGCTTTAGATGTGAAACAATTTAGTTTCGAAACTTAGAGTTAAAAAAATCGCACAATCGGTAGGTCGTAGGACTCAAAGCTGATGCACGAATTTTAATATAATTTGCGCTGAAGTCGATAGAATCGCGGCGGGAATGTAGTATATATTACACTTTTAGGTCGTCGGGATTTTCAGATAACTTTTTTCATCCTCTTGTAAGAACCATTCCAATTTTCAAAAGTTTATAGACTTTGTTCTTTCTCTACGACAAAAAAAAGTAATAATAAAATAAAAGTGGAAGAAGCCAACTTCAGCATGAACTGCATTTCGTCGTCTTCGCATAACTCTGGAAGAACTGCTGTTAAAGCCCGTATCTACGTACTCCTATATCATAGAGTCCTTTGAAAATATTTCCCAGAAAAATTTTATTTATTTATTTGCTGTTATTATGACGCCAGACGAATTAATTAAACTTGTAAAGAACCCTTGCACTTTTTCGTTTGATCACATCATATTTTTAATCAAAATTTCTTGCTGAAAAATAAATAAAAAAACGCTCTAATACTTTTCAACGCATTCAAAAAAAAAAAAAAAAAAAAACAAAACAAAGAAAAAAACATAATAAATAAATGTGCATCCAAAGAAAACAAAATATCTGTGTTCTGAAAACTCTTTGGAGTTTTTACTGTGCCAGGACATTTACTTAAGCATAATTTGATTTTAAGCTTACACAAAAACAAAAATATTTCAATTAAAATATAAATTTATTTATTCTATATTTTAAAATATTCTAAAAAATTACAAAAACAATGCAACAGTGCACTCGCCGCACAGATGTACGCCGCCCAATTGTCGTCGCAGCAACAGAACATGTACGTGTAACGAAAAGAAAAAATTTAAAATATAAATACACTTAGGAATAGTACATACCTACATACATACATACTAATATAATTGTAAATAAACAAAAGAAAATTAATTAAAAAATAATAAACTAACAAAAGTAGTGCAGAAAATGTTTTTTTTACTAACAACTCAATCTAAATTACATATATCCTTCTGTGAGTGGATATATTTACATGTGTAGTTCACAAATTACTAACAAAAGCAATAATCTCTCATCTACACACACAAGTATGCGCTGTAGTTTATTTAAAAATGAAATTAAAATCAACTTGCCTTTGAAGTACTCATCTCTGAACATTATTCTCCAAGACACTCACCTCATTCCATATTGGCCAGGGCATTGCCAAAGTGTTTACTGTAAATTATTTGATTTAATAAAAATATGTAAAATGATAGATTTTGGAAATTATATACTTAATAAAAATTAAAACCATTCATATTTATTTATTTGCTTGCTTGCTTTCTTAGCACTTTTGCGACAATGTCCTGGCACTTAAAATTCCCACAATTAGTTAGTTCTCAATCTACTTGCGCATACTCAAACGAACATACTCGTATGTGACTTCAAGCACAAAACACACAAAACAAAACAAAACAAAACAAATGATGAACATGCTTAAAAAATTGTAATTTTCTAATTTTTCTAATCAATTATTCACTTTCTCCACGAAAATAAAATAAAATAAAATAAATAATTTTTTGAATTTGAAAAAACCGCATTGTAAAATAAATCGCAAAAAAAATAATATAAAAATAATGCAGGTTTGAAAAATTGGATATAACGCCGAAAAGTGCACAGAAAATAAAGCCAGTCTTAGAACGTTGGATGAAGGAGGCCGAAGAGAGGTGAGAGTATGGAAGAAGTTCCACACGACGACGAGCGCATACTTGAACGCGATCTTTACTAACTTTGTATTTTTCTCTCTCTCTCTCTTTTTTACACTCTCTTTTACTCTCGTTTGGCGGCACAGTCACTGGAATCGTTACAAGTCCGGTCAGAATCATTTAACCGATTACATAGGTGTGGAGCCGTCGAAGAAACGCAAACGTCGCACTTCATTTACGCCGCAAGCTTTGGAGCTTCTAAATGCGCATTTCGAGCGCAATACGCATCCATCGGGTGAGTGGTAATTTCGAAAATGAGATTTTTGACTTTGGTCGTGGTTAAAGCAAAAGTTTTTTATTATACTTTCTCTCTCTCTCTCTCACACACACGCACACACTCACACTCTTTTGTCTTTAGGCACCGAAATCACCGGTTTGGCTCATCAATTGGGCTATGAACGGGAGGTGATACGCATTTGGTTCTGTAATAAGCGACAAGCGCTGAAGAATACGGTGCGCATGATGTCCAAGGGTATGGTATAAGGAGTCTGAGCAGAGCGCGCAGTTTCAAAGGATGAGCTGTTGGCTGAAATGGAATGACAAGAAAGCCTAAATACACATTTAATTGAAATTGCGCAGTTGAATGTATGCGGATTATGAATAGAAACCCTTTTTGAAGAAAATATATTTTTTAATTATTTTGTTGAACCTTTAAGAATTCTTATAAAAAAACATGCCTCTTAATTTTAAACTTTTAAAAACCTTCATTTTTACATATAAAGATATAATTTTGTAAAATAAACTTATAAAACTCAATACTCCAATGACTAGATTTTACTACAGAGAAATAGCAACAACATATGTTGTAAAATACTAAAAAAAAAAATAAATACCTTTAAGCACGAAAAAAATTCATTCTTATTAATACAAGTATATAATATGAGAAAAATAATTTTTTATAACTATTAAATTAATTTATCCGAAAACCACACACATTGTACTCATACAAGCATAAATATAAAAATTTAATATGTAATATGCATGTACATATATATTTTAGTAATAAATATAACACATTTCTAGCAATAAAATTATTTATTAATTGTACAACAAAACGTGTATTTATATACATATAGATACTTATGTAAATTGTGTGCGTATAAGAAATGTGATAGCCACAATAGAAATATTAAAAGCAAAGGAATGTAATTGATTTTCATTTTCAGTACTAAATATTCAGTATAACAGTATGTAGCAGTGGCTTTGTGTATAAAAATAAATTAATATTGCTTGCTTATGTAAAATCGCAAATTACTATCTATCATTTTTCAATTCTTTTCAAAGAGAAAAGCGCAGAGATAGCGAAAAAAGACGAAAAAAATATCCCAGATAAATGTAAGAAATATATGTATAAATTATATGAATTACACGAACTATGCCATGACATTGTAAATGGTGTGTCATATGAGTTTTTATAATCCTGCATTAAAACAATTTATAATTAGCATATAATTAAAATAATATTGTAATTAGCAAACAATTTAATTTAGTCAAACTGTATACGAATAGGATACTAAATAAACATTGGCCTAGATCATATGGCAAGCCATTTAGGTGTTAAGTATGTATATATATACAATAATGCGTCATGAATTAAAAACCGCTGAAAGAAATATTTTTATGGGTTTCATTAATTTAATTTATTAGTTCAAACGGAATAGTTTTTTTTGTACAGGTTAATAAAAAAATATAAGCAAAATAACATAAAATATAATAAAAAAAAAGAAATAAAATAAAATAAAATAAATGTAAAAAAAAAATAAAACAAAATAAAGGAAATTAAATAAAAGAAAATAATATAAAACAAAATATAATAAAATAAAATAAAATAAAAAAATAATAAAAAAAAAATTAATAAAATACAATAATATAAATTAAATTAAAATAAAATACAACAAAATAAAAGGTACATGAAATTAATTTAAACCAAAAAAAAAAATAAAAATGAACAAAATAATAAATTAATTAATACAAAATATGATTAATGAAGTAAAGAAAAAAGTTAAAGAAAACCAAATCTAACAAAATAAAATAAAGCTGACTTAAATTTTACAAAAAAAAACTAAAATCAAACAAAATAAATTATTTTGTAAAACTACAAAACAATTATAACTTTTCAAAAGATTTTACGTGAAAAATTTCGTTGAGCAATAAACTAAAAATATAACAAATGTACATAGATTCATATCTTGCAAATTATATATAATATTTATTTTTTCGTTAGATTTTCATAAGTTTGTGCTTATGTTATATTTTCTTGTTGCTTTTAGTAAAGGTGTTAATTTATATCAACAAAATGTTTAAGTGGTAAAAAAAATTATGAACATTAATTACCCACGCATAATAATCGAAATATTGCAATGTGCTATCAAACTAATTTATTAATATTATAACAGTAAAAATATGAAGAAAATAAAATATTAGAGGAGACAACAAAATATTTAGAATTAAAGATAATTAGTTGTAGTTTAAATTGAAAACGGAAAATATAAGAAACAATAAGAGATATTGTTTAACAATAAACATAACTAATAAATAATATTAATGTAATTATTATATAGATAAGTAATGAGTTATAAAAATAAGAAGTTATGTTAAGCTGTGCATTGCTACATACATAAATTTAATTGAAGGAACCCCCATAAAAATAAACTAACAGTAAAAAATAATAATGACTATTATACTAGCGAACAATGAAAATGCGTGTGTATGCGTGAAATTATTTAAATGGATTGTAATAATAAAGAAAATAAAAACAAATTCAAGAATATAAAATAAAAAAATGTGTTTCAATCGAAGTAAACAAATGATTGGAAAATGTATTTTACAATAAATAGCGAAAAACTAGTGAGTTTTACATTCAATTTCTCCAATTGAATTTTCCTTAGCTAAATGCCGTGGAATTTGGCATATTTTCACTCAATCACTCAAATCACTCTTTGCGGGCTGCTGTTCGCAATTTATTTTTATCTTTTCTGCTATCAAGTTGAAAACATAAAAAAAAAGTTTTTGTTAAAAAAGTATGCATATTTTTTATTCCTAATTAAATTAATATCATTTAACTTAAAACTAGTAAATAAATTTATAACAGCAAAAACCAGGCTGCCTCTTTAATCACTTAACATGAGCTCCAGAGCTTTCTGTTTTCGTCTCAAGCGATATTCGGTGACGCCATAACTGAAATGTAGAGATGTTAATGGGATAATTTAAAAAAAAGTATATATAACATAACTTTAAATTGATTTATGACGACATTAAAACATTCACTATGATAATTTCTCTTTTTCTTCTGACTCACCCTGCACTTCCAATGCCTAGCACACAAAGCAATATCCCCAATTTGGTGGATGTACACAACTGTGAACTGATTATATAGCCAATAACAGAACCAGTTGATTCCCATAAGCGGAAGTTACTGTAGCCAGCAATGAGATGGTTCGGAAAGAGAATGCCATAAAATGCTGTAACGTACGCAAACATGAAATAATTAGCCAAGACAAACGCTCTTAGCAAAGACAACAACCGAAACTTACCATTCACCACAACCAACCAGACACCATCGCATATTCCCCAAATCGCGGCGAATGCGCAGTACATAACATAGTCACCCTCACGCGCCTCATACATAAACATATACACGAAGAGCGCGGCGTTGAGCAGCGCACAAGCGACGAAAAGCGTAATGCGACCTAATTTCTCCACAAAAGCGCCTGCGATGCCAGCGGCAATGGCATTGGCAACGCCAAAACAAATCATAGCGAAGCCGATTTTGGATATTCCCCAACCGCAGGCGACAAAGGACTGTCAAGAGAAAAGTGGGAGAATTAAAAAGGTGTAGAATTTCTTCAAAGCCGCCTGTAACTCACGCGCGTATAATCCACAGCCAGAAATGCTTCCTCCAAGCCAATAAACATTGTAATGGGCAGAATGAGCAGCTGACGACGCTTGCGCAGCAAATTAATCGTGACGGTAAGCAGACGCAAGCCGGACATGCCATCGCCAGAGTCATTGCGACGTACGCCATAACTATGGAGGGTTAGATTAGATATTTAAATTTGGACTATCTCCTTTTTTTTTGTAATCTTACCGCTTCAAGGAGTTGACGCCGAAAAGCATTAGCACCACCGCCGTGGCCATACAAATGAGAAAAATCGAATTGAGCAGTTGTATTTTCGCTGGTTCGGGTGGTGTTAAATTCGGATTGGCCTCAGCACCAATGCCCGGGCAGAAGCGAGCACCGCAAATTTCACTGACTCGACTACCGGAGGGCGTAGGTGCTACGAGTTCTTCCAGTGTGGCATTCACTTCCGCGACCGTTGATGAAGTGAAGGTTAATACTGGAAAAAAGAGTAGAGAAAAGAAAACGAGCTTAAGAGAGGAGAAAATGGATGGAAAGATCGTTCCTCCAGGAAAGGTCGCTGAATTTACGTAGCAACCATTTGTCATATGTAATTTCCAAAAACTCAACATAGTTACCTGATGATGATATCAAATTCCCCCAAACTTGTGCCATTTGGTAGAAAATGAAGAAGAGTCCAAAAAATTTCACAGTGTTCACATCCTTACGCGACTCATTGCCGCGCACCTGAGTCAAAGCCTCAGCGACCGTTGACAGATAAGTACACTTTGAGCACCACAGAGGGCCACCGCCCAAGCCGACCATGAGACCTGTGAGGAAATTAAAATTTTATTTTGGGTTGGGTTTCAATTAATCTAAAAAACTCAAGCACACCTACCAGCTGGTATGAGCGTCTCGAAACGTGGATAAAACTGCGCCGCAATATAGGGCATATAAGCGAAGAAGGACAAAGCCATGGTGAGATGACAGCCGAACCATCTGGAAAGTTAAAATTACAAAAAACCAGTATAATAAATAGGACAAAGTATAAAATATATCGCTTAAACACTAAATCCATATATTAAATGTAATGAGATTGAGCAACTGGAGGAATAGAAGCCAGAAAAATCAAAGACTTCGCTCCTGCTGATGAAGGAAGAAGGTGGTCGACACATTAAAAGGGGGCCAGAATTTTTCAGCTGTTCGTGAACTCTTATATAGTTTTAGCTTAGATGTTATTGAGCTGCGCAAACCCATACATGCATATAAAAACAATATGTATATATTTTTAATTCCCACCTAGACGCTTTAAGCTTTTCACAGAAGCTCATCTCATCCATGGAATATAGTTTGTTGCATATTAACAGGCGCACAATACCGTGACTATTTTTTCGATTTACTCCTTTGAAATTTTATTGTAAACAATTGAGCGAACATATGCCACAGACAATGCCTGCAACAATTCAAAACAACTGAATACATGCAACACGAAAGTTCAAGCTTACATACATACAAATTTGCGAGCAAAGTATATGAGGAAGCGTACAGCTTTAACAGTGGACGCGCAGCTGAAGAGAACTATGTATGAGTAGTTTGCTCTAAGCAATGCTTGACCCTCCGCAACCCGGCAGGGAGGCCAAACCAACACTTGCCAATGCAAATATTTGTATGTATTTATATATTTCCAAGTCTTGCTAACCCACATTGCCTTCATTTCGCCGGCAATCCCTGATATAGTAACAGCTGTATCAACAAATAAATTTACATAGACAGCTTTGGGTGAGGAGTGAAGGGCAGCAAATGAGCATAATGTAGTTGAAATGAAAACAGTATTTAAAGGCATGAAGAGGACACCAATTTAGATATGAGAGTTTTTCAAATAAAACTTTTTTCTTAACTTTTTATACTAGGCAATTGAAGATTAAATTTGAATAGAATAAACTTAAATTAATTAAAAAATTAAAAAAATTAAAATAAAATAGTAAAATCAAATAAAATATAAATGTATTAATAAAAAACTAAAATAGAAAAAAGTAATATTAAATAAATTAAATTAACACAAATTAAACAAAATTAAATTGGATAAATAGAACAAAAAAATTTAAATTGAATTAAATAAGATTGAAGCAACAAAATAAAACAAAACATAAAGAAATAAAATATTATAAGCAAAAAATTTCAAATAAAGTAAAAAATTAAATTAACGAATTCAAAAAATAAAATAAAGCAAAAATTAATTAAATGAAAACAAAAGAAATTAGATAAAACGAACTTGAATGAATGAAAAAAGCTTTACTTAAATTCAAAGCCATTGGCACACACTATTCATTGAAAATCCATTGCGATATTCGATGGTATTTTGAGCAAACTTCTCTTAGTTTTTTTTCTCACTTCTGCGTCGCACAAATTAAATATTTTCATATTTTTTTATTATTATTTTTATGACCGACTTCATACGTATGCCGATTGAATTTAAGTACAGTAAGGGCGCAAATTTCCAAAAGTAAAAGTTTACACACTCACACCCACACACGCTCACCTTATAACTGTCATCGGCAAAAATATATTCGATAAAATCAGCGAACCATAAATGACGGCGAGCGTTGTGGTGCCCAGCGCCTTGTCCGAATTCACCGAGCTCTGCAGATTCGAAGTGCCGTGGAATGCCGTGAAGTGTATCATAAATGCCAGACCAATAACGATGACATTCTTCGTAATAATATGCTTCTCGCCGGAGTCATATGTGTGCGGTGGCACTCTGGCGATGCCATTGCCAGGCACCACTGTGCCATTTTCATCAACAACAACATTACCAATAGCAGTACTGTTACCATTGACATTACCGTTACTCAGGCCATTATTCAATGTGATTATTATATTGTCGCTATTGTGGGTGTTGTTGTTGTTGTGGTTAGGCGTCATGCTATGATTATTTGCCGATTCATCATCGCTAGCCTGATCGTTGGTGACATTATAGCTGTGCCGCCGATGATTATGGCTTTCGCTGTCAGCAATCCGTGTATTGATGTCCACTGAGGCGGCGTTATTACGCGAAGAAGTCGAGTTGCCCATGTCGAGTGGTGGTGTTGCGAGTTGTGGTCACTGAAATGAGAAGGAAAGGTATTATCCGGATTTTATTGTTAAATATGGCAAGGCAAGACATAAGAGATTAACGGTGGAGGAGTACATAGATACATGCAAATTGCAGTAAATTTAAATTTTAAATATACATATACATATATATGCATATATTATATATATATATATATAGAGTGTGTAACCAGAATTAAAACAATATTTATGCTCCCTTTTCGCTCCTCAAAAATCCTTTGAAGGCATTTCGCTCGTTTATTTTACTCTTATCTTCAACAGCTAAGACCTCAATAACGGTATAAATCGGCTAAAGGCGAAATTTACCCCCCGCTTGCTGCATGCTTATACATACATATGTACACATGTACTTAATTTCCTTCCCTCCTTTGGTCAGCCAAGTGAATGCCACAAATGCTGCACGAAAATAATCGAGCAGCTTATATCGGTTTTGCTGTTTGCTCTCCTTCTTTTCGATGCCGCAAACGTTCATGGCCGTCGGCTTTAACAAATAAATTTTAAACTTTTCCCTCCTTCACAGAGCATTCAAGTGAGACTAAGGGAGGACTTTTCCACTAATAAAGGCGCTTTTGTTTATTTGTTGGAATGAACTTAAATGCCGCTTCCAATAACAATGAAACTTAATTGCACGCTTTCGCCAACAATTCGGGATGTATTTGCTAGAGCAAAAAAAAATATAATTAATTAAATGAACAAAAAATAATAAAAAGATCCTTCGATCTCAATATTTTTTAATTCTTCACTAAATTTTCATTCTTAAGATTTCATTTCTTTTTAAACATCCATCAATGAATTGAAAAATTAAATCAACAACGAAATTAGCAACAGCTAAAAATGAATAAACATTGAAGGACACAAAATTTGTTGTTCCCATTTCCGTTAAATTAACTTGATTAATTAGTACTAATCGCTTATTCTCCTGTATAATTACTTGATTGTTTTTGTTGCAATTAATTTGTTTACATGAAAAACTGATTATATGCGTTTTCCCCATTTTTGTGTTATTTTTCTATTATTTTCCGTGTTGGAATTTAATTTTCATAAGAGAAATCACAACTTCAGCTATAATCAAGCTCTCCGCTGCTTGTGTGCCTCAGAGTTGTATTTTCAGCTACAAATTTAGTTGATACTCCCACAAGGGCACGTACTGCGAATTTTCAATGATAAAATACTGTTTCGCTTGACTTCTTATTGAATGATGGGAGGAAACACAAAGGCAACGAAGGGAAAACAGCGGCAGTTGAGAGGCAAACGGCATGAGCAGGAGCGTCAAGCTCTACTCTAACCGCACTTCGTTCACGTATGTGTTTGTATAGCCAAACGCTTTCGATGGGTAAATAAGACGAAATTCTGAGTTAATTTGTTTATAAATGAAAACCGCACGCTCACATTGAAACACATTTACGCTCACTTACACAATTCGATGTTCGAGAAATGCTATTGGAGAGTAGAGTAATTGAACGTATATATGTATATGTACACCCATTATCTGTTTATATGTGTGTGCATTTGTGTGCGTGTGTCTGTTTGCATGTGTGTACGTGCACTTGCGGTATTTAATGTTGTTTGCGGTGTTAACAATCAGTCAATAAACTCACAGTTACTTATTGGAAGGTAAATCAATTTGCTTGCCTTGTAGCCTGCTTTTAGGCGGCAAAGAAAAATGTTATTTGCATAATGTTTTAACATGTATGCTCATATGTGCTTATTTATTTGCATACTGTTGCCCTACCAATTTACACTTTTTTATTCTCTCTCTCTCATAGAAGGCGAGAAGTATGGAAAAATCGCTTGATTTGCAGCAATCCATTTTAACTGCCTTCATTCGTGTTACTAAGCTCTTTATTCCTTTGGCCACTGATTTATTGCATTTGTTTTTAAGTAATTAATCAAATTTGTTTACGAAAATCAGTTCGTTTGATAACCAAAAATTTGTAACTGCTGACCTGTGTGGAGTGACGTAAGGAAAGTCGGTTGTTGAATGGAGGAGACAGTAAAAGTTTATTTTCCAAAAAAATAACAACAAAAATAATTGTTTTTGCGGCCATGATATATAATAATTTTTGGTATAATTAATAAGTAAATCAATGGCCTAGTTGTTTGTAAGGAATTCTGAACTGATTAATATTTTCGCTATTGACTAACCTTGTGCAAAGTCTTATGATTTACCGGAAAGTCCAGAACCCGAGAGAGTTTTAATCAATCAGGCTTCTAGACTGTTTTAGTGTGAAATTGGGCAAAATCTCCATTATCGTGGTAGTTGTAAGATGCATAGGAAATAAATAGAAGAAACAGGTCTCAGGTGGCCGACCAACTTAAAATCTCTAATAAAAACGGAGGGCATATCAAAGATAATTTCAATTATGAAGGAATTTAGCCTTAAAGATTTTGCGAAATATATTTGTTTTTAATAAAAATCGTGGAAGCTTTTTTTTTTTGTAAATCTTTAATGCTAAAATCTTTGTGCTAATTTTTGCTCCGCACTGTGTTTCTATGATCTATAATTACAGCCAAATGCTGGCATAAATATTTATCTGCAATCAATCAAAGACATATAAATCTGGACAAATGTATGTCTGTATGTATGTGTGCATGTTCAACTAAATGACAGATTCCGCAGAACAAGCAAAGAACAAGACGATGCCAAGCCAAAAATATGAAAAGAAAGTCAAAGTTGGTCTGTGCTCTTAATGGAAATTTTTACAAATCACTAAGTAAACAATACAAGCACATACATACATACACGCGTATACAAACGTACTAAAAATGTTTAGCAATTATAATAAATTTGCCAAGTTGGCACTGATATGTTAAATTGTATATGTATATATGTGTGTATGTGTGTATGTGTGTATGTGTGTGTGTGAGTGTGTGTGTGCGCGTGAGCACAAGCGCCAATCGCGCGCACCCATACGCACTGTTGGAGCACACACGATGGGTTTAATTTTACACGCATACATATAAAGAAAAACAATTAGCACAAACAAATACATATAAAAGCAAACACACATATAAAGAAATTATATAGAATAAAGTGTAATTAACTTTAGATCAGTCATTTTGTGGTGAAATGCTGTGCCAAGTAAACATTTTTCTGCTGCCAAGAGAGACTGAGAGTGAACGTGAATGAGTATATGTGCGTGAAAAGCTACCGAGGAGATGAAAAGTCAATGAAGCAGTGCATATGAACGTTTGTGTCTTTGTGTGAGAAGACATGTATCTATAAATTTAAGAATAATGGGATGTGTAACAATTAGTTCCATCTCAGTCAGAAATCATCATGCTAATGACTGCAAAGTCTGCTAACAATTTGTTGGTACCGCAAAAAAAAAACCGTTAAGAAACAAACGGCAAGCCACACTTTTATTTGTTTTTTATTATTTTTTGCAATTAACCGTTATTGTATTTTTGTGTATAGCTGGGAGTTAAGTAGTATATACGTGTATGTATGTATGTATGCATAAGCGTTTACATATTTATTGCATACTTAGAGCAATACGTTACAGTTGCAATAAACATTTTCCCACACCAACTAACGGCAAAGTTTTTGGGCCAATTGAACTTTTATCGCGCAAGTGTATGTGATTTGAAGGGTGAATACTTCGCACATTTTGTGTACTTACTAAATTGATTAGAGAAGTAAACTACTCCTAGCGAGAGGACCAATCCTTACATCCAATCAGCAAAATGGTTCGAGGCGGGCTACTGGCCACTGCCAACCTTTCTGGCGTTGTTCTTAATAAGTTTGCTGGTGGTGAGGGCGTCACAGAGAATCTAAACTCTAACTGTGCAAAAGCCGGCTTAGTCATCCTTTAACTTTTCTACAAAACAACAACTTTACAATTTCGTTCGAAAATATAGCAAAACAAAAATGAGATCAGAGTCAAGGGCAAAATCTGGAACCCTTAATAAGCTATCTCAGCAAGCTGTAACAAGGGCATTCTATCACTTTCAAATGGAAATCTTTTAGTGCCTATCGAAGAAATTAAGTATCATTTAAAGATCGTAAGAAATTCCTAACTGTTGCTGGCACCAAGCAAAATAGAATAAAGTAAAGGGTGCCCACCGCCACTAGCCAGCTTCCCTTTCAACCGATTAATCAACTTACAAGTTGTTGAACCTACTCGAGGCAACCCGATCGATGTATTTTCAGTTAGAATACTCTTGTGAAACATATCAAATAGAATTTTTTTATTTAAAAGTAATTAAATATATTGGAATCCAGCTCACACTTATTTTCACGTATAAGACAAACACGCTTTGATGCCTTTCCTCACTTAACTGAATTTTCTGAACAATTTTAACATTGAAACCCCCAAGTCATGTCCGTTACTTTCTCTTTCATTTTTGACATACTTTCCGACATCCCCTTGGACATCCTTTTGCATCACTAACTTTCACTAGCTGTTGCATCAACCAGCTGTTGCATCATCGAATCGATTTCATATTATTTGCTAATACACTCAAGGGAAAAGTAGCAGAAAAAGAATAAGAAGTCGTCAGCAAATAAATATAAACAAGCATTTGTAAGGCAAGACACAACAAAACAGCAATACTGAAAAATCAAATAGTTGCTGATTGGAGTGGCTCTCTCAGCCGAGCACATGTAACCGAAAAGAAGGAAAAACACATTCGGAATCTTTAGCAACTCAAAGGGGGTGAAGGGGGACTAAAATATACGTTGAAGTATAATGATAAGAAAATATCTGATTTTTCTCCACAGTGGGTTCACGCTTTTGCAGCATAGGTGCCGAGCTACTTAAATTGGAACAGAAATTGTCCAACATTTCGACAAATGAAATATTTCAAAATTGCAACTCAATTTCTATGAATTTTTATTATTTTCCCACACATGTGGAGTTTGGTTATTATGTCAACAAGCAAACAAAACAAGCAAGTTATTATCAGTGTTGCTTTTCCCATGCCTCCCAGCCACAGAGCAACAAGAAAATTGCACCGGTTGCTGCTGAAAAGCACTGACATAATCTACA